CCTACTCAAATTTTCGGCTTGAAATCACTCTCATTGTGTTTCGAATATTCCAGTTCCACCGAGGCCGTTGTAAAGCTGTCCAAACGTTGCTACGGAGTCTGTTAAATCTCCGTGGTTTTTCCTCTGAAGTTATTAGTACAGCGTTTCGGTTTGAAAAAAAATCCAGACAACAAACTAGTGGTGGTCTTAATGTCCAACTAGTAAACTTCTTGTACTGAACTGTATAAGCAAATGGATCTTTCATGGTGGTTACAAATAATTCTAGTATCGTAATGGTCGTATAAGCTGTCCCCAATGAAAACGATCGTTATGTGACAATTTGGACATTTAAGCTGGTCTCAGATAGATGTAAATTTTCCCAGATGATTAGCTTCTGAGCTCATAAGAAGGAATTCAAAGATACCATAAACATATGTTGGGAAAAAAGTCTTCCAATCGATTGAATTAGAGCACCCGAAATGTGAACTACACAGACCATAAATGACACTTTAAACACTATTCATCAGTAACACAGCGAATAAATAGATCACGTACTACTATAGAGGGAAAAGAATATGGCCCATCGTGTCAAATCTTGAGCTGTTTTAATAGAATGTGACCACATGGAACTGTTTTGTTCAGGATTGCTTCTCGTATGGCGTTGCTAATGTATCAGTGCGTTTTAAATAACCGTTACAGCTCGCTGAACCGAATAGTGCCGTTAAACTAAGTCAAAGTCGAAGTTTTATTATGTTTGATTTAACAAAGCTAAAGCTTATTAAGATTTTTAGGATTAGGATTTTTACAGCATCTTTTGGATAACTTTACAATTAGAAAATGATAATATTAATGTGCATGATCACTCAAGGGTGTTGAAATGCTAAGTGTTCCAATGCTTTATCAAGTTGTGATTCGAATAGTTCAACTGTACATACTACATGGGATGGAAGAGAATTCCATACACGGCGCACTCTGAATGCAAACGAGTGATGCCGACAATCAAGGTGGATGTTCTGGGTCCTCCTGATCATTATGAGGTAAAGTTAGCACAGAGCGACAAGGGTGGTTGGGTTAATGCAGTATGGGGTATGTCATGATTGTCCGTCTGAAGCTGAGATGGGTCAAGCCTCAATATTTTCAGTCTTTCGGAGTGTCTTGTTATACAGGTCTTTTAGCAGTTTTTTGTCAACGTTTGCGGACGTTACAGAGCCCTCTTGTCGCGGTTCAACCATGAATTCCATACTTGAAGGGCGTACTCCGTGTGTGGCCGAACGAACGCTTATAACAACTGTGATAACAGTGCCTTTTCGAACCAAGCGAAAGCACGTGCTTACAGATCAGTGAAAGATCATCTGTGTACAGCAGTCACTGCTCACCAAAAAAATAAAACTTTATTCAATGAAAAATGTGATGGTCACAGTGAATACCAACCTATAAACTTCACAAATATTTCTTTCAGGATGAAAGTTCTGTAGCGACAAAAACCGGTTTTATAAACCATTTTTAGGAATAGCATTATTTCATGAGTGCGTGGGGCTCTCAAAATAAGATATATATGTATCAGTGTAAATTTGTCATACTTGTATAATCCACATTCACCTCGCATTCTGAGTGATGGTCTTGGATAATCGATACTGATTGGAACCGACCAGTCACAGTTCACCTTCACGCTCAGTCCTCTGTTCTCCAAGTCAACCATACCGGAAGCACTAGATTAAG